GAATCCTGTCACACACCTCCTCCCACCTCTGGCCTGTACCCCAGCTCTTGTATGCATAAATAAATACATCTTTTCAATTTCATCTTCAGTTCATTCCTCTAAAATATCTTTATTTAGGGCCTCCCTCCCTGGTGGCGCAAGGGGTTAAGATGCAACCTATGAAGCTGTCCGCAGCCACTACAGCACGAGTTCGATCCCCGGCCAGGGAGCTACCCACATGGCACAGCAGACCTCTCCTGACTCCCCACTGCTCTCCTCAGCAGTGTATTTCAGTAAATCTACCTGTTCTGTTTCCCTCTGTCTCTGGCGAATCCTCTCACCCGCACCCCCCCCCCCCCGCACCTCTGGCCTGTACCCCAGCTCTTGTATGCATAAATAAATAAATCTTAAAAAAAAAAAAATCACTTAGGAATTGGTGCTTTCCGAAAACAGGTGTCGCCTGCATCAGGCTACGGTTTCCCAGGCTACCGCCTCCGAACTTCACAGAACCCTCCTCGCTGCAGCTCGCCCGCAGCTCGCAGCCCCCGCCCGGCGCCGGCTCCCAGGACCCGCGGGCGGCGCCGCCAGGGGCGTTCCGCTCGCGCCACACCCGCCCGGCCCCGCCCCGGCGTGGGCCACGCCTCCGCCACGTGCCCGCCTCCCGCAGCTAGGCCGCCGGCTATTGGCTGGCGTTGCTGCCCGTCTCGGGGGGGCGGGTGCGTCGCCCGCAGGCTGGCGCTCCCATTGGTCGTGGGGGCGGCGGCCTCGCGCGCGGCCCCGGCGAGCAGGGGAAGCCGGTGGCGGAGGCGGTGGCGGAACGGGCGGAGGCTGCCGGTTTCGTAACCGTCGCTCCTCCTCGCTGACTCGCGGGCTGCGAGGCCTGGGTCGGGTCGGGCCGCGCCGCGCGGGGCCGCTCGGAGAGGAGGCCGCCTCGGGGCGGGCGGGCCGGAGGCGCAGGTAAGGAGGCCGGGGGCGGGCGAGCAGGAGGCCGCGCCGGAGCCCGCCGCTCGCGTGGGCGCGGGGCCGGCGCGAGGAGCCCCGGCCCGGCCGCCGGGAGGGCCCGGCGCGGCGTCTGATGCAACCTGCCGGCAACACCCGGCGGGGCCGCTGAGCTCATCCCTGGCCCCCGCCCCGCGCCCGGGCGCCACCCGCCGACCCCCGCGCATCCCGGGGCGCCCCTCGCTGCCGGCCCGGGCCGGGCGGGAGGCCAGGGGGCCCCCCCAAACCCGGCCCTCGGCCTGTGAAGCGGGAGGCGGCGACAGGCGCGGCTCGTATTGGCCCCTGGGGATGAAGGGTGTTCCCAGAAGGTGGACCGTGTCCCGAGGGCCCCCGGGGATGTTTCCTGCCCCTGCACAGCCCCTCAGGGTGGGGTGCGGTGGGCGGGGATCCTGTTCAGACGTCGGGGGGCGGGCTGTCGTCGGGGAAAGCACTTGAGTGCTAAATCCATGACTGCATAGACATAATGGAAGGCTGTCTTAGGCATCTGTGATTTGAATTTCCTCCTGTGCACAGTAGAACATGGGCGATCACTAGTGGAGCCGAAGATGGGGGCAAGACATGAAGTGTTTTTGCTTCGCGCGGTTGGAGGCAACAGCAAGGAAAGTAGCTGGCAGAGGTGTGCAGGTGGGGAGGATGGACATGGGAAGAAGAGTGTGTATTCTTCCACTTAAGCTCGTAGGTTACTGTTCTTGAGAAGGTCTAGGGGTTTGGCTGAGGTTTATGCTGTCATCTGGCATCTTAAAATGCTCCTGTTTAACTTTCCCCCTCTCCCCCCCCAAAAAAAGGTTTTCACGTTGGTGGGTTACACAAAAATTTGTAGTCCTGCCCCTAAGCCTCCACTCAGTTGAGTTCTTATTTGAATAGATTGTCCTTCCATCCAGATACCGGTGTTCGCTTTCCCAGTATGTTTTTGGAAATGCTGTGAAAGTTGCTTTCTAAGAAATCCGCATCTAAAAAAAGTTCTTGGTCTGTAGAAGCTGAAATCTGGTGGGCTGTTACCAGTTGAGTCGTATTTGGGATAAGCCATTCTTCAAAGTTGATCTCTGTGTTTCTGGACAAGGGTAAACAAGGCTAAGTAATTACAGGATGCTAATGAAGTGGAGAATTTTTCAGTTGCTTGATTCCCGCTTCTGTTAGGCGGCACACTTGGCTGACTCATTTTTAATTCCTGTCTAAAAAAAACATAGGTGGAAACAAAAGTTTGTTTTTCTCAGAATGTCCTTTAAATTTTCGGGAACCTATCAGAACTGCCAGCAAGGTTGTCAGATCTTGAAGAGGTGGTTTCATTTTAGGTCCTTGGGGATTTAAAGGGCACATGGTGAGTCCCTGGTAAAGAAAAATAGACCTCATGGGGCTGAATTTGGTTTTGTGGTCTGAGTTGCATCACTGATCACAGTAATGGTAAACGCAGGTAGCCACATTTGCAGGTTTATTGCATATGTTGGCAGGGGGGCTTCATGAGTTCTTGTACTGGTAGCTACAGTGACCTCCTTCCTACCTTTTTGGCTTTCCAGCTGTATCAGTGAAGAAATTTTAAGCTGGACCTCCTCATAGATGTGTATTTATAAACCGTATGTGTGTATTTTTTTTGGTATGTTGGAAATGTCAGCAAAGGTAGATTTAAAAGGTGACATTAAAAAAAAGACACATGCAGAAGATATATTTTCTTCTCATACTTAAGTGACTCCCTTATGCTCTCCCCTGCCCCCCCAGGGGATACACCCTCCTTAGATCCCTGATTTAGTCATGAATCGAGCAGTAGCGATGGCGATGCACTATAGGTGTCTGCAGACTGACTGCTTTCCTTGACTTGCAGGGTTGTGAGAACCTGGCAACACAGGCCTAAGAACTTGAGGTTATTAACTGGAAAATATAACTGGGCTAAGTAGAAAACATAGTTTCAGACTTAAAGGAAACAGCAGGCAAGGTTGATGTTCACTGTACAGAGTGGTGACTAGATGCAGCAAATGGAACTATATTTTTATTTTCCTTCACACCTTTAGAAAGACCAAGAACTTCAGGTAGTCTGACCATAATGTCTCAGTTACACTCTTGATCTAATTGTGGTTGTTTTAAGAGATTTTGATACCAGTGAGTTTCATTTTTGTATAAGACATTTATGAAAATAATTGTTCTCCCTCGACCTATTGACTTTTGAGCCTGTTTTCAACAAATATTTCTTGTACACTACCATTATAGTAGCCCAGCTGTCCATGTGAAGACGAAGACAGACAGCCCTGCCTCTAGCTAAGTGTACAGGGAGACGCACTGTAGAGCTAGAATTGACAAAGAAACCGAGAGAACAAATGGAATAGAAGCACTGAGAGAAGAGAAAGCCGGGCCATGGAAGGGTCTGTTAGTGGTTCAGTATTGTCGAGGTGTGAAGTGTCAGGAGAAGGGACTAGAGAGTGATTTGATCCTTTGTGCTGAAGTCACAGAATTTTCAGCAGGAGGGTGTGACATACTCAGGTTGTATTGTTAAATGGTCATGAGAGTGTTGGAGGGAACACTGCTAACCAGAGACTAGTGCCCCTGAGAGATGATTTGTAGCAACCTAAGAGATGATGTCAGCCTGAGGTAATTTTGGTGGCATTGGGGTGGAGAGCAATGGTGGGTATGGGGTTTTATTTGTGGGGGAAGGGTGTGTGAGTCATTACCAGGTACCAATGATTGAAGAGATTTGGAGCAAGGGAGAAACTCTGAATATTTTTGAGTTAGGCCTTCACTGAGGAAATTGAATGAAATATTTATTTTGGGGAGAATATCTGATTGTAGTTATATAAAGAAATGACAAGAGGGTTAAGAAAATTTGTGACAGGATTATTTTCCCAACTGAAACTTGAGAAAAATTTTATTTTGTTTTGCTCGTTCTAACATTCTGAGTTTTCAGTGTTACTGACTTTGAATGGCCATTACTTGAATTGTGAAATTTGAATTAAAGAAGTCACCCATTCAGCCCATTGTCATTCTTAAATCCTTTACTGATCTGCAGAAGTGGCTGTCAAACTCCAGTGTCATCAGGATCACTTGGAGGTCCTGCTACAACAGGATTGCTCAGCCCCGTTCCTAGCGCTCCTGACTGCTAGGTCTGGGGCAGCCTGAGAATCGGTATTTCTGTCAAGTTCCCAAATGATAACACTGCTGGTCCAGGAGCCACACTTTGACAGTTACTGCTCTTCAGTTTTTCTACTGCTTCCTGCTTGGATGATTCACTTGCAAGGAAACTGGGCGCCTCCCTTCTTCCTGCAGACTGAACTTTGGAATAGCATTTGTTCACATGGAAGCTAGACTTTCATTTAGGCTTGACAATCCAAATTTGAAGTAAACTTAACTGGGTTTTTTTTTGCTCATTGTAGGTGCTCAGTAAATGGTTGTGGAAGGAACTAGAGCATGAGTAGAAACTATAAATTGTGTACCTTTTTTTTTTTTTTAAAGATTTATTTAGTTATGCATACAAGAGCTGGGGTACAGGCCAGAGGTGTGGGGGCATGATTCACCAGACAGAGTGGGAAACAGAACAGGCAGACTGACTGAAATGCACTGCTGAAGGGAGCAGCGGGCAAGTCAGGAAAGGTCTACTCCGCCATGTGGGTTGCTCCCTGGCTGGCCAGGGATGGAACTAGTGCTGCAGAGTCTGCGGACAGCTTCATAGGTTGCATCTTAACCCCTTGCACCACCAGGGAGGCTCAGATTGTGTACTTTTGGAGGCAGCTATGTTGTTCATTGTAAAAACAGAGTTGATCGTCTGAAGTTTTTTAGAACTTTGACTCCCTTTACTTGGTTCATTTTCTTTAATCAATCTCTTCACTTTAAAAACTGTTTTCCTGGCTCGTCTTTGGCTGAGAATTTTTTTATTAAACCCTCTTGGAGTTCTTTTTATTATCTCCAGGTTTCCCTCTTACATGTTTACCAGTATGATGATTACTCTTTGTTATTCAAGCCAAGATTCTTGCTCACATTCAAAACCTCGCCTTCTATGCTCAGCCTCGTACCTTGGCAAGATGAGTCAGACTGAGGTAAAAGAGCCCTTCCTTATTGCTGTATCTTCTGTGCAAACCTCGGGCATGAACATCACAGGATTTGGAGCTTATAAGAGTTTTTAGTGACTGAAATTTATGGTATATTATGAAAGTCAGAAGGCATCTTACCAGACTCCACCCCTCATTTGCACATGAGAAATTGAAGCCCACAGAAGGGAAGGGGTGTATGTCCAAAACAACAGAGTGGAAGCCAGAACCAAGGCAAGAATGGACTTGGCTCCTGTCTGTACTTCTTAATGATCATCAGTATCTCCACTGATTGCAGAAATTAGCTTTGAAGACTAAAATGCAGTTGATATATAAAAAATGGAAAAGATAAGGTGATCAAGATTGTTAAGATGATCTCAGGAGAGGTGTTAAGTAATGTCTTAAAAATTAAGAACATGTTTATTCAGTTTATACCAAATATATAAATAACAACACCATTAGTGATAATGGTGATTCAAGTGAATACTGAACAGCCACTTGTTAACTGGAGGAAAAAATAGGCTACATAAATTATTTACTGAAGATAGACTCAGAGTATTGATGGATAGTGGTTTGGAAGGAAGCTTTCTGTCCTGCCTCAGCACTGGAGTGAGAACAGATGACCCACCAGCCCAGGGCTGGCTTCAAGGCTTAAAAACAGTCAGAAGTAATGGGTGTGTGTGTGTGTGTGTGTGTAGAAAGAGAGACTTTAAAAAAAAAGATTAAAAAAAGCAGATCAATAAACAGTGTTTATACAGAAATGCCTGGCTATTGGGTGATATAACTGGTATTTACTCTCCGAGCTTCTCTTAAGAACTGTAAGATGTAGTCATTTGAGGCATTTTATAATTTTGACTCCAGGTTTTTCCACTATTGTAGTTTTAGCAATTTTGTGAAGAGACAACAGGATAGTTTTATGCTTCATGACACTGCTTTCTAAATTTCCAAGTGTATTGTGACTTCTTGGTGGACAAGTTTTACTCAGCTCAGTTTATCTTGAAGTGGCCTTATGATGGGAGAGGTGTGTTTTTATCGTTTTGAGGCAACTATAGCAACCTGCTCACATTCATAGTAATCGAGATATGACTAGCTCCTGAAACTGACCTCATCTCTATAGGCAGCTCCAAGTGACGCCGCAGCTCCTTGACCACATGAGGTGCAGGCGCTGCAGCTGCTCGGGCTGTTGGTGTAGCCCAAGTCCCAGGAATCGCACTACCGTGGATGTAGCACTAGGCCTTTTGCTTCTTTCTTGTGGTTTCAGATTGACTTTTAAGATGTATTTATTAACTATGTTGAGAAAAAACACTAGTAGAGGTATGGTGGGTGCCCTAGAGTTTCTAAATCTATGCTAGAAGAAAGTAATCTCTGTAAACTACTGTCATTTGAGGTCATTATTAACAAAATATAAAGACAGGCCAAAAAAAACCCCAAAACCCTTTTCATAATATCCCATAAAGATAAGTTCTGGGAGAAAAATCGAGTCCCAGATGATTCACTCTCTACATACCAGCATAGGGAAAACGCAGGGCTCCTGGCACAGTATTTCTGTTAAATAGTGGAGACCGGGCACTCCACTCTAGCATTGTTTTGACTTGAATCAACAATTGAAAATTATCCCCCTTTCATTGCAGGTGTCTCTTCTATCGTAATTGAACTCAACTTTTCCATGTTTAACCCAAACATCTCAAGTTTCTCCCTGGCAGATTCTCAAGTGCTATTAGTTCATATGTGCTACTTAATTAGTGGTTCTCTTTTGTTTTCCCTTGCAGTTTTGATAACGATCACAGATGGGCACTTCCCTCAGGGATTCAGGTGGGCTGAATTGGCCTTGGGGTGCTTGTGTACTTACTTACCTTTCTCAATTAAATGATTTCGATTTCTGAAACATTGGAGGAGTTGGCAGTTATGTAGACTTTTTGGAGCATCATTAATGTCAACCTGCTGCTAGGTACATGCAAGTTTAATCTCATTTGATCTTGTCATTTGAAATATGTTAACGCATTTTATTTTTTAACTAGGTACGTGTGAAGATTTTTGGCAGTTCAGCGTGGAAACCCTTGATCACTTTACCGTCATTTCTGTGTGTTCTGTGTTGGCAAGGGACAGTGCCCAAATGAGCAAGGTATCGCAGCAGAACAGTGCTCCGGGAGTGAACGGAATAAGTGTTATTCATACTCAGGCTCATGCCAGTGGCTTACAGCAGGTTCCTCAGCTGGTGCCCGCTGGCCCGGGGGGAGGAGGCAAAGCAGTGCCGCCAAGCAAGCAGAGCAAAAAGAGTTCACCCATGGATCGAAACAGTGACGAGTATCGTCAGCGCAGAGAAAGGAACAACATGGCTGTGAAAAAGAGCCGATTGAAAAGCAAGCAGAAGGCCCAGGATACGCTGCAGAGAGTCAATCAGCTCAAAGAAGAGAATGAACGTTTGGAAGCAAAAATCAAGTTGCTGACGAAGGAGTTAAGTGTGCTGAAAGATCTGTTCCTCGAGCACGCGCACAACCTTGCGGACAACGTGCAGCCCAGCAGCACTGAAAGTACCACAACAAATTCTGATAATGCGGGTCAGTAGACCTCGCCCCTTCCAGACTTTAGAACCCATGGCTTGAACTGGACGGGTGTGAGACCTGCAGTCACGTCACGCCTATCGGTGGCTGAACGCGGTCTTGTTCCATTACTCAAAGACCCACTGAAGGCTGTTTTCTAGGATCAGCACTGACGAGTTGAATAGCTAAAAATGTTATTCAAACATCTGGTTTTCAATGGTAGGATATTTGTGGGGATGAAAAACCAAATTTTTAAGATATATGGAAAAAATACCTTGGACCTTGATGTTCTTAATAAATCTTGACTTCCCAAGAAATGCTTCTTTTTTAGGGGTCACAGTAGTTTTTGGCTTCAGGGGATCTAGTTAATTGGATTAAGAAAAGTTGAATTCACCTATGTTAAATCTATTTGGGAGTTTTCTGTTATGTATTAAAAATCCTAAGGGCTATAGAAACTGATCACTTTGTAATTCGGAGTGATTCTACGTACAGCATGAAAACTGTGTTTTAGCATAATTAGTACTGTTTTCCCCAAGAACAAGTTTTTGAATAGTAATGGTCAAATTAAGTAAAGAAACCCAAATTAAGTAAAGACAGGCATTTTAATTGACTTTAAAAATATAAATAGCCTGAGAAAGCAAATAGGTTTAAAAAAAAGAAAGCGAAGCAGAATTCTGCTTTCGGGGTACCTTCAGGCTATTGGATTGGCATTATTTTGTTTCCTAAGGGGGGTGTGGGGAACTCCCCCAGATAACTCAGGCTTTAGTTTATGTAGATGTTAGTAGTGTAAGCATTTCTTGGATACATTTTCAAGCCAAGTTGATGGACGAAGTGTCTTCACAGTTTGATCACACAAGCTGCTGGTAAGAATTTGGAATATTAATTCCGCAGGTAGTTTTTCCTGTGTTCAGATGTCTGCAGAGGGGCTGTGACGTTTAAAGGCAAAATTTTCTAGTGAAGAATCATTTCGGTATTGTTTTTAACCAACTGATTATTAGAAAAATGTATTGTCAACTCCACGCCACCTCCCAAAATAATAGTTTAAGAAAACTTGAAAGTGTAAGGTTTTAACCTTTAATTTATTTCTTTTAAATTCATTTTTATATATTTTTTGTAGCATTTCTTTTTCTCGTTAGTGGGTTGTTCTTCCAGGCTTTTTGTTCCATTACTTCTGTTTATTCATTTGTGTGCTTTTATGTCTCATAAATTATTTTAGAAAGAAAATACTCAGGATAATGACATTTTTGTTGAGACTACAAAACAGCAGTCACTAACGTCAGGAGTCCCTAGAGTATGGTTTCTATCAATGTTAATTCTGTTGTCCTTGTCTCTTTTTTAAAAAGCACAACAATTCTAGCTCAAATTTGTAGGCTTTTGTGTATTTTTTTTCTGCCTGGGCTGGTAACAAAAGTCTGAGTCACATCTGATTAAAAAGTGTGTCATTTGAACATGATGTGTGTCATTTGAACATGATCCTTATTGGCCACAATACTGTTTCATAACAGAACCCGGGACAGTGTAGCCAGGATGTAAGGCACCCTTGGGTGGGTAGGAGAGTGCTGTCTGTGCACTCTCCCTGGGTAGGAGAAGATAGGCCTGCAGCTCAGCACAGCCATAGGCCACGTGCCCCTTCTGTGCTGTATGTGACAGAGCCCAAGGCTGATGCCTGACAGCTGCTCTCCCAGGAGGGTTCACTCCTGTGGCGCCAGGAGACAGCTTAGGGGTGTCTCATAGAGCCCAGGTCAGTTTACTTTGGTTAGAATATTGATCCACTTGTAAAGGTTGATAAATGTTTTGAATAACTAGGATATGCCCACAGAATTTTTAATAGCTGATGTTGTAATTAACCTAGCTGGAGATGCAATAACATGACTTGATTCTTTAAGCACCTATAAATGGTTGTAGACATTTCAATCTCTTATTTATTAAAAAATATCTTTCAGAAATTGATGTCCCCATGGAATTAATGGGTACAATTTTAAGAACTGACTTAACTATCTTGGAAAAGAAGCTTTAGAAAAATCATCAGGGCTGCCTGTATTTAGTTCAGTATTTCAAATCAACGGAAGATTGGAACTTTTGGGAAAATTGATTCAGGTTTTCCTATTACTTATTTAATTCAAAGCTTCGGCATAAGCAGTCACTTATGCATAGAAAAAAATGTTAACCATTGTTTTGACTGTCAAATTTAAGTGTTTTGGGGATGAAAGTTTTTAGTTTGGTAGATTTCTCAGTTATAAAATAAAGGGAAACCAAGTTGGGGAATAGGTAAATTTAGAACTTCGGGAATTTTAAATTGACTTGGGTAACTTTTGTTCTGATGTTACGTATGAACCATTAAGATTTGATCTGCCTTTACTGGCAGGTCCAGTGGTTTAGGAATTAGGCTTGAGGATAAATTCATAGCTGCACCGGAGTCTCCCAGGACAGGCGCTTCTGGCTGGTTGTGGCTCAGCTGGCGAGAGCAGCTCCTGCTTGCTGCCCAGCACTTTCAGTTACTGGGGTGGGGCACAGAGACACGGGGCGTGCTAAGAAGTAGTGAGATTGTAATAAAATGTGACCAGATTTTTGAAATTCAGTTCATAAGTGTGAAATTTTCAAATTTAAATAAAGTAGAAGTAGGTATGACTTAACATTTGATATTAAAAGAAAGACAATTGTAGCAGCTTTTGATGATTCTTACTCCCCATTGGAGGGCTTGAACTTCGTACCTGACCAGTTGAGTTATCACTCAGAGTGTTTTTTGATGCCTTAGAAATAGAAAGCATTTTCTGTTTGACAAAATCTAGGAAGGAGAAAATGTTCTACAGCTATTAGGTCTGCCTCTCAGGAAAAAGTACTTGTCCTTTTTGTTCTTGGCTTTCCTCAGTTTGTGAGATTATTCTATTTTTTTAAACATAATTTTATTTCTTTCAATGAATTTGAAATAAAAAAAAAAACTTTGGAATAATGGCCGTATTTCATTGTGAGTTTCTTCATGTGGGTTCTTTAAGTCAGACAGTAGCCCAAATGTTGGAACAGCTCTGAAGAGAAGGTAGGCGTCATGCTGTCTTTCCTGTACTCAGGTTGGGGGGGGGGGGACAAGAGGGAGGGAGGGGGGCGGTGTTGGGCTGATTTTGTCCAAGTCTGGATTTCTCTTAGTGGATAAGAACATAGTTTTCTCTGGTCATAACGTGCATCTTTAATATTTTTGTGTCACTTGGTCTCCTCTCAAAATGTATACAATAAAGAAAGCGATCACTGGCTTTGTTGCTCAGATACCTAGTCTCGGTGTGGTTTCCCTTTACAGAGAGGTAGGGCCTATGTTACTAGGCTCTGAGGTAGGTGAACAGGAATGTCAAGGTAAGGCCTCTCCTAACAAGGCCATGTATGGTAGGTATGTTGACTTCTCATGAGGCCGTTAGGTCTGGAAATGAATTTATAGATACTCCAGGAAGTTGATTTGAATATTGCAAGGGAAGATGCCATTTAGATACTTTCTTTGTTCCTTCAGTTATTTTCACATCTTAGGAGCTAAATCTCTAGTTATTGCACTTTAATGAAAATTGTAGTGATTTTTTCTGTGGGTAGTTATGTCCTGTTTCATTATTTATGCATTAGCTGTAAATTAGCCTATTCACTTGGGCATTTTAGAGATGATTTCCTTGTGCAGGTGCCAGCTCTATTTTAAATAAAAGCACTTTTACACCTGCTCGCTCCCTTGTATTGAAGAGTTCATAAGCATTTCACAGATGCACAAAGGCGCACAGCCACCCCTGAAAATTCTTTCTCTGCAACATCCTCACTCCTCAGAGCTGCAGGCCTGGGGGTTACAGAGGTGCCTACAGGACTTGGGGTTGTAGAACTTGGAAGAGAAGGGAGTTGTTAGGCAGCTACATGTTACACTATTTGGCAGTCCACATGCCGGTCTGTCTCATCACTGAAGCAGCTATTGGAGCCAGATGCCTTTCCACGTCACCCTTCCAGGTTGATCTCCTAAATGTCTGTCTGGAACCTGAGCACTTCACTTCCCCAACCCTGCTGTGGCAGAGCCGCCATCCTCTCTCGCCTGCCGTTGGTCTCCCCGACCACTGCATGGGCTCCAGAAGCATCTTGTTTCCTGCTGCACACTGGGTGACAAGCAATCTCCTTGCATGGAGGCTCGTTTGACCTTGCTGACATAATTTCCTTCCACTGTCCTGCATTACTTTGCTTTGGCTGCAGGGCTTGCCCTTCACCTTTCCTCAGAAACCGCTGGAAGCCAGCACTGGATCTGGAATGGTGCACAGAATTCTAGAATCTGGCTCCTGGGTAGGGGCATATCTGTGGGACCGTGGGAGAACTGGACAGCAGCCCCAGAGTGCAGTTTGGGAGGTAGGCTTACGCTTACAGAGGACCGATTATCGGCAGACGAGAAGGGAGAGCCTCACTTGTGCCTTAGGTGGCAGCGTTTCAGGCTTTGCTAGTATGTCCTTCGTGAGGAGGAAATCAAGGACTAGGAATCTCTGCAAGTCCCAGGTTTTACATAACGGCGCCTTGCCGTTCAGTGCTACATAGTTCTTCAGAAACCCTGCTTTGAGGCCGTTAATCAAGGCTTCTTGCCTCATCGGTTCACAGACCATACACAGAGAGGGCAGCCTGCCTAGTGCCAGGATCTGCAGGGCCGACGCTCAGCTGCGAAGGGGTAACCAATAAAGATGGAGCCCTGCACAAAGGACCACTTTAGGAAATCTTTAATTGCAAATTCCATTCTGTATATTTGATTTTTGAAAGAAAATTTCTAGAAATGCCTTTTTCCTGAGCAAAAGAATGCAAATGATAGCCAAAGAACAGGATTATTTTCAATTCACATTTTAAAAGCCACTGTCATTTAAGCTAGGAATCAGAGATGAAGGGTGGGATCTACTGGAGGATGGGGGGCGTCATGACAGAGTTGCTCCCCCAGCAAAGTGTGATTTGGTTTGAGCAGTGGTCAAGGCTGGCTTGCGATTTCTCAGCACCGTCTCTGGCCACCGGAGCGCCAATCAGCAGGCTGCCCATGGTGAAGAGTGGTGGCAAGGCTGGGTCCCCAGTCCTGGGTATTCCTGACTGGCTTTACTTTGGGCCAGAGAAAGGGGTAAAGGCCTTGTCACGTCCTGCCATGCATGCTTCAATTTCTTCCACCGTGCGGGGCACGCAGGTCAGAAGCTCCATGCCAGTGTTAGTCACCGCGACGTCTTCCTCGATGCGCACCTGGTCACCAGTGGACACTCGTTAATTTCTGAGCTGGCATCATTAGCTGGATTAGAGCACCAGACCCCACAGCTCTGGGCTGACCCGCACACTGAGCAGGAGAACCCCTTTCTGAGGCATGGTCAGTCCTCCCCTTCTGATGGAAAGGGCTAGACTCAAGGCCATTGGGCAACTGCTGAGAGGCTGGCTCCTCCCACCCGCTTGTCTCTGCCCCGCATCTTGCCAGTGGCTGGGAGCCATGGAGTGGGCAGGGCTTTTACAGAACCTACGTCTCTTCTCAAGGGGCCAGGCGCTTGTCTGGTGACAGGCCAGGCCCTCCCCAGATGTGGAAGTAAAGACTGCCCTTCCCACTAAGGCCCCTGCCCTGGGACAAAGAGGTGGGTGACACACAGCAGCGGTGGGGCTGGGGGGCTTGTTCTGGGAGTAAGGGCGTGGCCTCACAGGCACTTACCCCACCGAAACCTCGGAAGCGCTGCAGAACGTCACGGTTAAAGAAGCAGGCGCGGGCCGGGTCGGCCAGGGCCTCGTCCAGGAGGTGGTCGATGAAATAAATGCCCGGCTCCACGGTGAGTACCATGCCTGCCTCCAGATGCCGGGCAGTGCGCAGGCTCCTCAGACCCGGCTCATCAATGCGCTCCACACCCTGGGAAGGGAAAGGTGAGGAGGACCTGTTGGTGACTCAGGGAGGTGCCAGCTCCAGCCCAGGGCTGCACTCACAGCAGGAGAGAAATGGGCATGAAGGAAGGCACCAGCGAGGCCTCTTCCCCAGAGGGTTCCACATACAAGGGCTGCCTCCAGCCCCCTGGGGTCTCACTGGAGCTGCAGGGGCAACTTCATGACCATGGGAGTTTCCAGTTGAGTCTCATCCTGCTCACCTTGTGCCACAAGCAGTTTCAATAAGACCCTCTATGCTGTAACCCCCCCACCACCCCAGGTTTTGAGTAATCCTGGCCCTTATTACCCTCACCCCCAGAACTGCCTACAGGAGTCCTGTGGATCTCCATGTGCACACACCAAGGCACCTGATGCTGGCCGGGTGTCTGGGCACCCTCACCTCGGCCTGCTAAGGGAGAGGTAGAAGCCAAACCTGTAAAGCCAAAAAAGCTCTTAAGGAGGCTGTGAGGCCTCCCAGGGCTGTTTCTTTTCTTCCAGGCAGCTCAAGTGGAAACCGGGCCAAAGTGCTAGGCCCCACTCCCCCAGGCCAAGTCCCTGGTTTTCCGTGTGGCTTTCCAGGAGGAGGGACAGGTGCTGTCATCAGGATGGGCGTGCCAGCACCAGCTCCAGCTTATGTATGCACAGATGCACGCGTACCCCGTGTGCACAGCCAGTTCCACGAAGTTCTCAGCCCTCCAGCTGAGCCCTGGGGAACGGCGCCCAGTCCTGCAGGCGTGAGTGCCAGTGGCAGCTGCTCCTGGCAGCAGCCATTTGTACCCTTCCCCCAGTGCACACCCAACCTGGGCCTGTCTACTCACAAGCCATCGCCTGCAGGGCTGGCTGGCTTCAAGGGCAGGTAGTGGGGGGTGCAGGGCACCTGCAGAAGCATCCTGCTTTCCCCAGTCCCAGAAGCACCCTCCTGCCCACAGCCAATGCCTGTGATCGAGCTCTCTGGTCAGGCTCTGATCTGGCTCTGCCCGGCCCGGCCTTCCTCACGGCTGTCCTGGAAGCCCAGCTGCTGGGGATGGAGCTGTCATTTCTGACTGTTTGGGGGCCAAGAACATCAGACTTCAATTAGTGGTTCATGTAAGGTAACCAGAACCAGGCTGGCTCAGCCCCAAGGCTGGCACAGCAGGGAAGGCTGTGACCAGGGTTCTCTGAGGGTGGGGACATGGGACACACATAGAAACTGGTGTGTACAACCACCCAGCCTGGTGTGAGCCAGGCAGGGATGGAGATGGGGGGACACCAACACAATGACCCTTGCTAGGTCATGCTTGGGGCAGAGATGCCTGGCTGGTGTCCATGGATGTTTTTGTCTGGGAAAGTGGGGGACACAGAGGGCGGAGTGCGGAATGACGGTGCCCGCACTCAGGTGAGAGGTGCTTGTGGGGCAGGACAGAGGCCTGTCTCCTGCACAGAAGCTGCTTGTCTGAGCTAGGAGTCCTGCACCTGCCCCTTGGTACCCCCTCCCTCTTGGTGACCTTCACGCTACCCCCTGATTGCTGGTTTCCTCTCCACTCCAAAGCTGTCAAGGCCAGTGCCTAGTGGAAGCAGAGGCCTGACAAGGCCACGCGTCCCTCTGGCCTTCCTCAGTCACTGTGGGTCCCTGCCGAGCTGTTCCATGGGGGTGTACAGGGGAGGGGCAGAGACAGGCAGCCCCCCAAAAATTTCAGCACCATCACTCAAATTGGGGGTCAGGGGAAAATGGAGGGTATCACAGGGGGCAGAGAGGATATGTCTGTCCTAGCTCACTGGCCATTACCCTTCACAGCATGAGCTTTCAGGAGCCTGCCTGGGTAGGGGTGGGCGGTCATGAAGAAAGGCCAGCACAGGGCTGGGAGAAGGATGGGGGCCCCCGACCCCGAGTGGACAGCAGATTCCATGAAGCTGGGGAGGGGCTGGGGTCAAAGTCCTCAGTCTCTCTGGCCCAGGAACTTAGGCCTGGTTGGGATAGGGGGCGCAGTTAACACCCGCCTCTATCTGGGCAGAGGACTGGTGGGGCCTCAACTTTTATTGGGCTCAGCACAGAGGAGACTCAGGCCTGAAATAAAAACAAATGAGTTTTATAGGAAAAGCCATATTTTTTCCACAATTTGAACTGTCAGAAGAATAGACTCTGTGAGCACAAAGGGCTGCTTACTGGAAAAGATGAAAACAGTTCGCTGCCAATTTTCTCTGGTGGAAAAAAAGTGCTTTGGCGACTAATGAATAATGAACCTCAGTTAACAATGTCTGGAAGGCCTTGCTCTTGGCTCCCTGCACACAATGTGATGGATAGAAATTAGGAAATTAAAACTGATTTTGTTTCTCCAAATTTAACTGTTTACACTTGAGGAAAAAATAATTGAATAATAATGCTCCTCTTGAGCAATTTTTTCCCCCCAAAAATCATTCTTAGTGCTTTCAAAATACCCTGCAGCCAACAGGCCAAGCCTAGTCTTGGCTAACTGGCTGGTGGGCCCCAGGGCGTGCACTGATTGCACAATCAGCCCCCTGCAAGTGGGCAGCGGGCCAGGCGGCAGGGCCGGGCTCACCCCCACCCACCGGGCCCAGAGAGGCTGCAGCCACCTGCCTGGCAGGGCCTCCCAAGGCCGCCAGCACCCACTGGGTGGTCCTTTCAAGGATCCGCCTATAAGGGGTGGGGAGCCTAGTCTGAAGACACCCACACAAACCTCCCTCCCCTGCCAAGGATGCTTAGAGTGCCTGGAGGTGGAGCCACAGGGTGGGCTGGCTAGGGCTTGGGGGTGAGGGTTGGGGGAGAGGGTCTGTAGCCAGGCTTGTGAGGGGTGCTGGGCGCCCAGAGGGGACCAGGTGAACCATCAGCTGGTGGAACCCCATCACCTCGGTCTGAATGCAGTCAGGTATGAAGGTACAGTGCCAACCCCATCACTGAGGCTGAGCCCCCAGTGTCTTGTGGGGACCCCACGCACCACACACTAACCATCCACCTCCAGGCAGGCACGACAGCCCAGCCAGCGCATAGCCCAGAGCACAGCAAGCCTGTTCCTGTGGGGTGACCACCAGAAACACCCTGCTTGTCGTGGGGCCTTGCTGGGCCCTTGGGTAGGGCAGGGAGGGGCAGCAGCCTGGGCCAGGACCAGCCAATGGATGAAGGGGGTGGGGGGAAGTGGGCTTGCTGGGACTCTCTCCTCATCTGGCCTGCCCACTAACCACCCCCCGGAGTTCCAACTCCCCACTTGGCTGGGGACAGGCCACTGGGCTGAAGTGTCCACACGCACCTCGGGATAGCCGCCCACATCGTGCACGTCAATGCCCAGGAAGTGGCCAAGCCCGTGAGGCATGAACACGGCCCCCAGGTGGGCCTGGACCATGGCGTCCACACTGCCAGTCAGAACGCCGATGCGGGTCAGCTCCTCCAGATGGACACGATCAGCCAGGCGGTGCATGTCGGGCCACCAGACACCTGTGGTTCAGAGAGAGGCTGTGGTGAGCCATGGGGGCTAGGCTGGGGGACACAAGAAGCCATCACTCTGGCTGAGGGGGGAGGGCTTGAGGTGAGGGGCAAGGGTAATGCGGCCGGGATAGCCCCCCATGCAGGGCTTTGCAGCCATAGCTCTGGCTTTCAAGCCCCTCATGTCACTCCACTGTGCCCGTAGGGGCAGGCTCCTGTACCCCCAAGGCCAGGAGCATGAAAACTCCCCCTCTCTATTGGGTCCTGGCTTATGCTGTGCTCGCCCTGGCCAGTGTGGGCTTTTGGGGCCAGGGGAGCCCAGCAAGATCCCTGGGTACAGGAGGATAAAATCCTGTGTCCCCAACAGCAGATGTGGGGCAGCCTCACTGAGTCCTGGGATCAGGGCCAAATGTTGCCTCAAGCTGTGGGGCCAGGGGAAAGCCTAGGGCTCGGGTGGGGGCAATCCTCGAATGGGGCTGAGTCACCCCTGGAGCTGCTGTGGGGAGCAAAGGTTTCTGGGGTGAAGTTGCAGCTGGCACAGCCTCAGTTCACTGACAGGGGTCTGTCATGGCCCAGACTGCTAATCAAACTCATCTTTCCACCATGTTTCTGGGGCAAAGGTCACTATGGAGAGCCTCCCTAGGCCAAGTTTCAGGGTGTGCAGGCTCTGTGGGGCTTGGGTTCAGCCCTGCCCAGCCCCTGGGGGACTACAGCACAGGGATCCATGGAGCTGCCCTCCAAAAGCCTTGGCCTTCACCACAGATACCCACCATGTCTGCCGGGTTCTATGGACTCCCACCTTCACCCTTGACCCTCAGGGAGCTCCACCTCACCTGGGTGCTCAGCCTAAGCACCAGACAAGGACTGAGAACATGGACGCTCCCGGCCCCACCCTGAGGGATGAGCTTGGGAGCAGGCTGCATGCTGAGGCCAGTGGCCTAAGACACACGTGGACAGGATGAGGCCCCCATCCCTACGCAGTGCTCCCTCCAACCAGGGATGGCCAGTCCAGTCCCTGCGCTCGCTGCACATGGCAGGCAGCCCCCATTCTCAAGGGCCTCAAGCCCTGCCCTTATCTCCGGTGCCCCTGACAAGACAGGCCTCATTTGCCCCTGCACTGCCAGGGCTGGGCGACATGGTCTGGTCTGGGTTCAGGGATGCCAGAGGACAAGATGATGGGGTGAGGAGAGGTAACAGCTTCTGGATGCAGCTATTACCTGTCAGACACTCATTCTCCAGGTGGGGGCCCCTTCCTTGCTAGAGACAGTTAGGGTCTTAGGCTTGAAGCCCAGACCTGATCTCACCTCCTATACCCCCAAGATCTAGGCTTTAAGCAGGGGACTGGGGCTGTACCCTGACAAGATCACAGCACAGTGCCCAGTCCACGCCCACAGTGCAGGGAGGGCACCCACTCTTGTCCCCAGAGACAGATGGACAGACGGCCTCCTTGGAATCCCACCCTGCTCACCTGCACTGCAGTGAGGCACTGATGGGGAGGCCACGGGGTGGGGTCCCAGGGTTTGAAGTATGGCTATGACCACTACTGCCGTGTGGGTAGAGCCCCATTCACACCCCGAAAAGCTTTCTCTCCTATATGGCATTCTGAAATGGAGACCCGGGTGCTGGAGCCCAGCACGCCGCTCACCTTCAGCAAGACCAGGCTGACAGCAAGACCCTACGCTTCACTGCTGTAGCTTCAGATGCTGCCTTTGCCCATCGGCTGCAAAGCCGGCCCTAGCAAGCTAGCTCCAACCACTGCTCTCCTCGGAGACACACCCACCCACCTTGCCCTGCCCGGGCCAGGCCACCTGTTCCAGAAGCTCACCGAGGTCTTTCTGTATCAGACACTTTGCAGACCTGGCCTGGCCTATAAATCTTTATCCATGGGATCTTATCTCAGCATAAAACTCAGGCTTCCCTGGAGGGACCCACCCCGATCATTCTCCCCATCATCCCCACTATTTCTCTCCTAGCACCTCTCACCTGTACAGCCCCTGGACAGCTTGACTATTGGTGTCTTGTGTCTCCCACCAGAAGAGTGATGTCCCCCCAACCCCTCAGCACTGGGGGCCTGGCTGACAGTGCTGGTCCTGGCGGAAGCACAAGTTGCCTTTTCCTTGGGTCTGCCCCACACCCAGGCTCCGGGCCTGAAAGAGCCCCTCCCACCCACCCCCCACAAGTCCTGGCTGCTGGGGCTGAGGGAGGGCCTCCTGGGTAGTGACTGATGCCCCAACCCCAGCTCAACTCCATCTCTCTTGGACAGGGGCCTTTTCTGGGCGCCAAAGGGGAGCCCCAGGAAGCGCAGCCTGACTTCAGGCCTGGCTAACTTCCACAGTGGGGATGCGGCCTCGGCGGCCTCGGCAGAGGGTGGGAATCAGGTATAAATCATGCTCTGTGCTGGCAGCTCGGCTCCTCTCCTGTCCTCGTGGCCCCTCGTGGGGGCCGGACGTGCGGGCCCAGGCGGTCCCCACGGCGCCTCTAGTCTTGCTCGCCTGCACACCCTCGGGGAAGGCCTTGCACACAGCTCTCTTGGCTAGGAGGGGGAGTTTCTGCCTGTGTGTGGTTAGCGTTGTGACAGTGATTAAACCTCCAGCAACTTGGCCTCAGCGTCTGGCCCGGATGGTGGTTACGACACCCATGGCTGGGCAGGGGCCCCTGAAGTGTGTGAAGGTTACTGTCCTTCGGCTAGGCTGGTGGGGTGGGCACAACCTGGGCCTCCCGGCCCACTGAGGCCCAGTCCACAGTGGGCAAGACTTTGCCCTGACTCACAGCTGCCCCCTCCCTCTCTTAGTCTGCAGGCCCCTTGGAACCCAGAGAGCCCAGCCTAAAGGCATTAGCAGACCCCCAAAGCTGTTCAGCTCCCGGAGGCTGCACTGGGGACCATGCAGCAGAGACTAGGTGTCATCTGCCCTTCCCTTTCCCCTACCCTCAATAAGCACCGAATCGTGTCTCGCTTTCCCTGAAACATCTCTGAATCTGGGCCCTTTGTGGGCCTCTACTGGACCCCCACCCAGTCTCCCTGTCCAAACCCTTATAATGCCACCCATCCCCACTATGTCCTGTAGAAGGCCCAGACACATCTCTAGAAAGTGGGTCAGTAGAGGTTGTTCCCACCCTGAAGACAGAGCCTCCAGTTCCTCAGCCGGGCCTCCCTCTCCAGCCTTGTCCCTCGCCCACAGGCAGAGTGCCACGTCAATGGTTCTAAGTGTTGGCACTCCCTCTGCCTTCCACCTGCTGTTCCCTTAGCTGGCACCTTACCTTCCCACTCGCTGCTATTCTTCCTGTGAGCCTGTGTTGAGGCTTCCTCCAGGAAGCCCTTCCTGACTGCCCCTTCCTGTGCTTCCTGAGCACAGCACATGGACTCATAACTGGACCTCTGCTTGAGTCCTGAAAGGGTGGGGTGTGCCCTGCTCTGCACCTGGCAAACATGGCCTGTGTGGGAACCCCAATCTCCCATATGGCTTTCTTGTAGCCACTGCTGTGGCCTTTTGGGCCTGGGATTTGGGTGTGCCCTGCCCCTCCTTCATGTACAGACTCCAGGGTGGGTAGGGGAACCTCTGGGTTTGTGTTCTACCATCTGCCTCATGAAACAGGACTCAGGAAACAGAGCCCTGGTGCCCAGAGCAGCCCCAGGTCTCTGGCAGTCTGTGCCTACCTGGTCCCCTCAGGCCACACCTTCCCCCAATGGGCCAGGAGCCAGGTTGGGCCTGTGGCTCAGGCTGACTCTCGGAGACTTAAAAGCATCCATCACAGCCTTGAGGCTCCTGCCCAGGGCGTGACAGCCCTGGAGCCCTGAGTGGAGGGGGGAAGCAGCAGAGGGCCCTAAGAGCTGCATCCTCACAGCCACTTCCAGACAAAGAGCTTACTTCACTCAAAGACAATGGCCCTCGGGAGACCCATGAGGTGATGTGTGCGCCAGGCCCTGGGGGTGCGGGAGGGAAGACTCAGGGCAGGCCCTTGGATAGCAGGTCTCTGCTGGTCTGCACCACCCCCACCCTCACCCCGCTAGGGAGTGAAGGAGGCACTCCTGGTCCTACAGCCTGCTGGAGGGTCTTTCAGGCCAGAGGAGTAACCTAGGGCCCTCATCCAAGACAGCCTCCCCATCCTGGCTCCAGCCAGAAGATGCCTGTGGCCCAGCGATGAGCAGCTCCCGCACCTCTGCCTGCCAGGCCCTGTGTTCTGTGCCATCTCTAAGGAGAGGTCTGAGGGGAGTCAGGGGGAAGCAAAGCCAGCAAAGGCACCGCGACCACACTCCAGAGCAGACGCGTGGCACCCGCACATTCTTCCCAGGCCCCAGCGGCTCTGAGTGCCCTCTTCTGCCGTCAGGACCACTATGGGGCGGTGGCATTTCCCACCACCTACAGCCTCCCCTGACTTAGTATTGCCACCGCCCCTACATGGCCAGGACTCCCGCTGACACCACGGACTGGCGGGGAGGGGGAGAGGAGCAGCACACACTGCCTCATGGGCTGTGCGGAGATACAAGGAGCAGGGTATGTTGCCTGTACCACCAATGTGGGGGTCCCTGTGGGGCAGGAGCTCAGGAACGTGGGGGCCCACTGCCCTAGATGTGGGGGGAGGCCAGGATGGGCAGGTGAGATGTGTTGGGTGCTGGGAAGTGGGAGACAAGTCTGTGTGCTTACAGCTGACCTCGGTGCCCCAGGATGGCTGTGGGAGGTCCGCGGGACCTTGTGCTGCCGCAGGCCGCCCGCAGCTACGGCCGCCTCAGACTCCCAGCGTTGGGCCGCCCCACCAGGCCCACCAGGCCCCTTCCCGCAGCACCTCTTGCCATCAAGAGGGCAAGGGACCCATGGGCACACATCCTAGTGCCCATGGACACAGGCTGCTCTGCACGGGTGGGTCACCCACCATGGAGAACTTTGGCTGCATACAGCCAGCAGCCCCACACAGCCAGTACAGGCCCTCCTGCAGGCTGGCACTCCCCCAGGTGCTGCCTGGCCTGCCGCTGCCACCTTAGGTGGCCTCTCTGAGAAAGCCCAGCCCTCGTTTCCTGCTAGGTCACTGAGGGACCTTCCTTCTCTGACCCCAGGCCTGGGGGCCAAGGCCTGCCTTCCTCAGCGGGGGCCGTAACCCACCTTATGTATATGCACTGCTCTCCTCTAGCCATCTGCTGTGACCCCGTCTTTATTTACTCTTGCCTGGAAGGTCGCAGGAAGCAGCCATGTAGTCTCAGTGGGTGTTTGTCTTGGCCCAGGAGCCGAACCCACAAACCAGGGGCATTTCCGCTAGGACGGGGCAGGGGGCTGACCTGGCCACAGCCTCCTCGCTGCTATGGGAGGCGACCTGCCCCCATCTGAGCTCCTGCACGGATGGAGTCAGGCTGTCACAATCTTGCAGTATGTGTGTTGGGGGCTGGGGAGCCTGGTGGGGGCTCATCCCCCCACTGGGGAACCCTGAGGCCCTAGTGCAGGCCTGATCTGTGCCCCGCTGTGTGCTGGGGGAGGATGATCTCATGGATGCAGAGACCAGCTTAGCTGCGCCCAACCTGGCTGCTCCATGGTTACCCCAGGACGGGCCTGAGGCCTTGTGTCAGCCCCTAGAGTGGGCTGACAGGCGCCCTGTGGGACCAGGCTGACCAGGTGGGCACCAGGTGACAGAGAACAGCATCAGGTCTTTCTCAGTGTGACAATGGGCCCTAGAGACTTGCTTGGGGACCTGGCTACTTTCTGGGGCAGAACTGGGGTTGCTGGATTGGCCAATTGAGCTGGCCAGGACACCAGCTGTGGTGCCACCCAGATCCTGCCCAGTACCCAGCAGGCTTTCCTGGGTGAGTGGGGGTGCCAGACCTTGACTTCTCAATACTGGGTGAGGATAAGCAAGGGTGGGAGCTTGCCAGGCCCCTCCGGGACCTCTGAATCCACAAGCAGCCCTTGGGTGGGTAAGGATAGGATGCCACCAAAGGAAAGGTGACACTTTGCTTCACCTACATGGTTGCTCCACCCACATGGTGAGGCTGCGGGGGCCCAGAGAGCTAAGCGCAGGCGGGCAGAGAGCCCTCCTGGTGCCCACCACATCTCTGCCCCCACCCCCCACCACTGCCATAGCTGATCACTGCGTGGGAAACACTTATCATTTGAATGCCCGACATTCTTCAGAGCAAATCTTCTCTTTCTGGTGTTACAGGAAGGTAAGGCGTATGGGGAGGAGACGTTCCCGGGGAGATGGCTTCCTGGGGGCCACGTTTTACAGGTAATAGATGAATGTCTTTCAGCTTCAAAGTCAGAAGACCTTGAAAGGCTGGTCATGAGCACCTTCCCTATGCCCCCTCCCTTCTGTCAGTCCGTCTGTCTCCTCCATGAATTTATAAGCACAAGTGAATCCACATCCTCGCAGGCCCCCTTTTACAATAACAGGAGCCTTGGCCACCCTGACCTGCCCTTTTTCTATCTCCACTGGCCAGTCCGGGCAGTTGCCCATGTTCGTACACGAGGAGGTTCTGGCTTCCAGACTATCAGCATGAGAGGCTGCTGCTTCTTACCCTGGGACGTCCAGTCACCATGTCACCCCGTCAGTTTTCCTTCCTGATCTTCCTTTCAGGGCACATCTGTGTTCCCTCATGTGATTACTGAACTATGTTCCCACTGGACAAGTGAGGGGGGAGGTTGGGCCTGGCATTGCCAGAGCACCTCCAAGCCTCGTTGGTTGGTGGGGGCTCTCCAGGGCTAGACAGGGACCATGGGGGGCCCTGACTGGCTGCCTCTGAAAATGACAGTAGCTGAGGACCCTCCCAAACAGCATGTCGCTGGGTGATCACTGCTGCAACGTGTCCCAACGACTGGTGGTGGGACCAGGGGGGCTGCAGAACCATTGGGTTTTGGGTCTGCAAGAGACCATGTCCCAGGGCTTTCCAATTCTCGGGCACAGGATCTTCCTTTCTTTTTTTAAATGAAGCGATACCAATCTCACCACCATGCTCCCCCTAAATTCAGTATGAATTGAGTTCAGCCTTTAAGGTTGTCCTGGCTGGATACCCAAGGGCCCCACGGCCTCCACTCACCATACCTGGAACATTGGGGAGACACAGCTCTGAACAAGAGGCTGTTCCCATGCCCAACCAGATGTGTGTCCACAGCTGGCCAAGCCCCCACAGAGGAGACTGTTGTGGGACAGGGCAAGGGGACGTGCAGGTAGAGGCCAAATGGTATATGGGGTGACCTGGGCTGAGCTCCCCAACTCCCAGCTGTGTCCCTGCTCGGAGGTCAGGGGTGACCTTTCCGAGGAGTGGCCCTGGGGAGTGGATACCATCAGGAGTCTTATTGGCTGAGCCCACGAGGGGAGTAGATTTGCGAGGCAGAGGCCACCCTGCACCCCCTGTTGCCCTTCCCGAGGCCCCCTCACCTGGCTTCATGGCACTCATTACGGCGCGGCAGCTCCGCAGCACCGCCTCGTAGATGGCCTTCTGGTCAGCGGTGAACTTGCCATTGGCAGGAAAGGAGCACGTGATGTCTGAGGAGAAGCAGTAATACTCTCCACCCATGTCAAACAGGCTGCAGAAAGAGGAGGGCATGGAGCAGGCAGGTCTTTGGGGGCACCCCACACTTCTCTTCCGCTGATGCCCAAGCTTTGTGGCCATGTGCCCAGTACAGCAGGAGTTTGGTGCCTCTTCTCATGATGCACAAGCAGCAAAGGTACTGTGCAGAGACCTCTGACCTCACAGCAGGGAAAGTGGGGAGCGTGAGGCTGACCCTGACTCTGAGCCCCCTGACTGCATGGCCTTCACCGACCCAGCCAGCCAGACCTCTGAATGGCTTCAGGAACTCACATGGACAACCAGGGAGGGGCAGAGATGTCCCAGGCCCCCTGCCTCCATATGAGCACTTGACAGACCCTCCCGGGCCTGCCCTGTACCCAGCATCGGGCATGGCTGCAGCCCATGGCAGCTGGACAAGGCCCTTGGGAGGGGCACACCTGCCTGACAGAAGGTGGGCAGAGCCACATCACCTGCCTCTCACAGACTGTGCTCTGGAATCCCTCTGGCCTGAGGAACGTGTCCCTTTCACTACTGTGGAGGGACAGATGTGCTAAGATAGGGCCAGAGGGAAGGGCAGAGAGGACGGGCAGAGGACAGTCCTCATGTCCAGCAGGGCTTTCCTGGGTCAGCCAGACGACACCCCAGCATCCCCCGGTGGCAGCACTGTGCCCAGCAGGCACAGTTGGGGGGAGTGGACAGTGCCAGACAGAAGAGACCAGAACTGGAGGCCGTGAGCCAGCAGGACAGACAGGGCGGGCCCGCTGAGTCAGGAGGATGGGCCCAGCTGAGTCTGCCCTCTGGACACCCCATGATAGGGCCTGAGACAGCGGGGCTGGGAGGGGGTGAGCCTGTTTGCACAGAGCCCGGGGGCCTGGGCCTCAGTCCCTCACGGCAAAGGGCAGGTCTGAATCTGCTGCACGGTGGAATGTGATGCTGGGTCCAGACCTGGTTCCCACTGGGTCGATCACCCATGCCAAGGGGGTACAGATGAAAGGCACTGGGGGCACAGATGACCCCCCCCACGCTGTCCCCCTGGAGCACCTCTGCAGGGGACCCACTAGCTCCCAGCTCCTTGTCAGCATCAGAGTGGAGTCACGACGTTGATGGTAACTGAGCCGGCTGAGGGACGTGGGCTCAGTGCCAGGCCTGGCTTCTGGCTGTGCCTTTGGGACCAGGGCACCAGGTGGAGCAGTGGCAGAGGCTGCCCCCTGGGGTGGCTGGAGCCCAGGCCCCTTGGCGCCTGGCTTGTCCTCAGTGTCCCATAGGGGGCAGCGTGCAGCCTCGCCAACCCCAGCAAATATGAGCCGGGCAGAGCCGCACTCCACAAGGGCCTCTCACCCAAATTCTGATGGTAACATAGCCACTCAGGAATGTTCCAGAAGCTGCCCGCCTTTGGGAGCCCTTATCCCGCAGGCAGAAAGGGGGGCCCCCCCCGGCCCTACGCGTAGAGCAAGGAACCTGACGGGCAACACTGGTGACTGAAACAGACTTTTTAAAGGGAAAACCTGCAATCCAAAGTCCCCAGCCGGCGCTTTGTAATCTCCTGTCTTTTTCTGATTGCAAAACACCATAAACAGTGTCAACAGTGCAAAAAGCACCAGATAACACCTCAGGTGATCCTTAGGGAGTGGGGAGAGCCCCCACCAGCATGGTGGGGAACATTGGGTTGGGTCAAAGTAGACAAGACAGTTGCTTTTACAGACTGTGGCCTGGCTCCCACACCCACAAGGCCCAGATCAGAGGAGCAGGGGTCACAGATGGCCCCGCCCCATCCTGTCCTCTGGGGGACTCTGCCTGGGGTAGGCCAATGAGTGACGGGGGGACTCTGCCTGGTGTGGGGGACGAGGCCAAGGAGACAGAGAGGGCGCTGAGCAGACACGCTCGGGCCTCTGCTCCCGATACATAGGCTGCTTGGGCCACCGGCTGCTTGCAGGGTCACTCCTGGCCAGGGCGCACTCCCCCAGCGCTGGCCAGGAGGGTGGGGCACATCTCGCCCTAAACTGCAGGGAAACTGAGGCTCTGACAGGGGCCCAGCAGAGCCCCAAGTGGGGGTCGGTGTCTCGGGGGTCAGCATGCAGGCAGACATGGAGCGGAAGCACGTGGGGCCCTGGCCCAGTTTTACCCGGGAGCAGAGTGTTCTCATTTGGGCTCCTCAGAGGCAACAAAGGAACATGGTTTGTGGTTTGTTGATTCAGAACATCCAGGAATGGCCTGAGCAGACGGGACAGGGCCGGGAGCATGGGGGACACAGATTTCTGGGGGCCGCCACATCAGAGGGCGACCTTCAGCAGCACCCCAGGCAAAGTTCTATGGGACTGTGCTGATCTCAAAGGAAAACAGAAATTGCACTATTTGAGACACCAGGAAGCCCGCAAGAGCACATAACCGCTGGAGACATCTCGAGCGGGGAAGGGGGTGGGCATGGCTTCCCCGGGGCACATGGGGCTGTTGACCAAGTTCTCCAAACTCTCAAGAGAAAGGCAAGAGCGCGAGGTGGCGGGAGCTTGCAGCCTGGCGTTATAGCATTCAGCTTCTAGAAAACTTCAGCTGTATTTTTTTTAAAAATCATCCACTTTCTGGAGAAGGAAGTGTACACCCAGCCGGCCAGCTCCATCCTGCCCAGCGCGCTCGGGCACGGGGCTCGAGTCTATTTTCGTTGTTCTCAGTTCCCTATCTTTTTCTGCATTTTTTTTTTTAAACCCCCTCGAGTTCCTACAAGCATAAATTATTGAGATTCAAGTCATTCTGGAATCCAGGGACGAAAGCCCTGGATTTTATAAATCATCTCCCTCCAATTCCTCTGTGTCCACTTCATCTGTCCTCCGAACGCAACCCAACAAGGGAGAAATTCAGTCACACTCTGGCTCCCTCCTCCCCCGCTGCCTGGGGACACCCACCAGGGACCGACCATCTTTGGCCGAGTGAATGTGTATGATGATCTAAGACATCTGGGAAGACATTACACATCTCCCGGCAACATGCTGGCGTCCCCCACATGTGCTCATCTGGTTCTATTTCTGGCCGGGCCGAGAGGATCTGTCCTCCACTGGCTCCTCCCGGGCAGCTCCAGGCCTGGGCTACCTGCCATGGCTGGCCCACCCAGACCCTCCCCAGGCCCCCTTCGGCTCTCGTGGCCCCACGGCAGGGACCAGCCAGTCCATAGCCGAAGGCCTACGTGAGGTTCTAGCCCGGGAGAGGAGGCTTGCAAACGGTTTGGGGAAACAGCGCAGTGTTTACACAAGGCCCTCTCTGCACCCAGCTTGTGGCTCATGTTAGTCTCCGAGCATGTGGTCCAGCTCTCGGCAACTCTCACCCCAGGCCGCTCGAACACAACCACACAGGCCTGGTCACCACAGCAGAACCACCCTGTCAGCCTCCCTGGCCAGGCACGGGGATTCCTGAGCAGCAGGAAACTTGCTTCCCTTCAGACCTCAGCGTAAGACAGAAGGGAAGGCGTCCAGTCACTTTCCTGTTTGTGGGCCACTGTGGGCAGCCCCTTCAGACAAGTCACATAGCTGGCCGCCTGCTCCCTGCCGGGCCTCTCCAGGACGTGCCCGGCCCCACGAGTTACGAGCGGCGCAAAGGCATTGCTTGGTGCCTTGAGAGCTGACCCACCAAGTGGACCCTTCCTGGCTTGCCTGTTCCCCAGCCCAGCCATGGGACAGCTGCTCCCGAGGGGCCTGGGCAGACAGGACAGTCACCCAAACAACCGGCGGTGCCCATGGGGACAGGAGCAGGTAGCGTGCAGGGCCTCTTGCGTGGGTCTTGGAAGAACTCTGGTTACCACTCTAGGGATGACATGAGGAGCAGCAAAGCACTGGTGGGGCCATGTCCCCAGGGAGGGTGCGACTGGTGGGTGGGACCCAGCACTGCTGTGCTGACCACCCGGGCACTGCCCCACAGGGCGCAGGCCGGGCAGCAGGCAGCGCACCATGGGGGCAGGGGAGTAAGTCGGTGTCCCGCCTGCACACAAGCCTCATTTCACTTTTGTGGTGAGCAGTGTTCCATGATGGACGGGAGCACCCAGGTCGTCTGGGCCGGGGCTTTCAAACTGTGGCTTGTAAAGTCACAGGCACTGGCCGAGTGGGGTGCGGGTGAGAAGCACAAACCCACTAAACAGAACCACCAGAAAACATGTGGTCAGGGTTATAATCTGGGTGTATCTGCGTGCATGGTTCTGGGCGGGATGTAAAGGGTGCTTCTAACCAGACAGAACACTGAAGGCCAAGGCCACTAGTCTGGACAGATGGCTGACTGGGCCCGGTGCCCTCCAAAGAGCTCTGGGCATGTCTTTAAGACCCTTGAGGCCTCACAATAGGTGTCAGTGAAGGGTCCCGCTGAGGAAACAGTGAGGGCTTGGGGGGCTGGGTATTCTTGGCTGGGCCTGGGGGGTGACACTCATAATCTAAAGCCTAGCAAGGCACCAGGAAAAGTGGGGTTGGAGGCCTCCTCACTTCAGGCCCTCTGCTAGTGGGGAAAGCGCCCCAAGGCTGTCAGCAGAGACATGGGCAGACACCAGGAAGACATCACACACAGCTGTAGGGCCAGGAGATATCAAGAGGACTCCTGGGGTCCTGGTGAGCCAGGGCAGGGTAGGGGTGGGGGCCACAGCCTGCACAGCTGATGTCTGTGATATGGGGGCAAGAAGAGGTACTTCTCAAACAGGTTAAATGAACACCTAGTCTACAACCAACCTGTGGAATTAACAGGAATCCAGCTAGCGAGAAGGGCAGGAAGGAGCGGCTGGTAAAGGTGCTGGGGGCTGGAGAAGGGAGGCAGGTGTGGAGTGAGCCTGTCGGGCCATGGTCTCCTCATCTGCGGGCAGAAGGACAGGTGTGTGCACAAGGACCTGACACCCCTGGGCCCCAGACATCACAGGGACAGTGGGAACAGGAGTGGGAGCAGGAGCAGGCACCCTCTACCCACCAGCAACAGCTCAGTTTTCAGGACTTTCCGGGGGTGGGGGGGAGACCAGGAGCCCTCTTTCTTTGGGCAAAAGGTTGGGGTTTGGTGAACTTGAGCTGTGTCCCCACCTTGCCAACAGGTCAAGGAGTGGGGGCTCAGGCTGACCATTATGGGAGCCCTAGCTCTTTGCAGGGAAGGAAAGGGGGAGAAGACACTTACTGGATGCTGAGTGTGGGGCTGGAACAGTCCTCTTCCCCCCAACTGGGGTTGGCCAGCCCCCACCAGGGCCCCAGGGCAGCACAGAGGACCTCCTCCAGGCTTGAGGCTGGGCTCCCAGGTCCTGAGTCAACGCTGCCCTCTCCTGGCCAGTGCTGGGAGGTCCTGCTCGCCTCTCACAGCCACATCCTGCCTGCTGCAGGGCAACCCAACCCAGGCCTGGGCATCCTTGGATAAGTGCTCTAGAAGGTTCTGAGAGGGGCCACAGCCCACCCTGTCCCAGAAACAACTTCCTTGCTACCTGATCAGATGGTGGGATGGGGGTAGTGGATGTGAAGGGGTGTCCCGGCTGTTTTCAAGTCAGAGCCCACTGGAGGCACCCTTGGGGCCCCATCCCCCCTGGCACAGGCATGTTGATGTCCAGGGGAGGCAGGCAGAGTTGAAAGGCCAGGAGTCCAGCCTGAGACCCCCAGTGAGCTTCTCCCTGTGGAATCCAGAACAGACTGTGGCGCCCCCTGGTGGTCTTTTGTTCCTTCACCCACCTTGATTTCCAAAGCCCAGGCTGGCTCTGGGAGGAAGGGTGGAGTGTGGGGACCCGGAGGATGCGCCTGATGAGGAGCCCCAGCACATCACACCAACCAGTCAGACTGATTTGGAGGGGAGGAGTCTTTTGGGGCTCCACCTGGGAGGGCCTCGAATGATCTCAGCCTCTGCGCTTCGTGTGAGCAAGTAAAGATCCCCTGTTTTAGAATACCTGACCATTTCTCTCAAAAACAAAAACAAAAAGCAACTAAGCGTTTCCAGGGAAAGTAACTTGGGTATGGGGTTCATGGTGGGCCCCATGGGACACGGTGGCAAAAGGCTCTGAGCCAACAGCAAAGTCCAAGAAGCCCCACCAGAGGCCTCCTTGGGTGTGAACTAGCTGAGTGGGGGGCAGGGGCTGGGAGCCCCCCTGCTGGCCCTGGTGCAGCCCCTACTGCTCAGGGCCACCCCATGCCAGCCTCCGTGCCTGGTGCTTGCACTAGTCATCACTGGCTCCTCCCTGAACAGGAGGCTGACAGAGAAACTGAGGCTCAGTCGGGGGAGGCGGGGTAGGAAATTCATGCTCATTCCATGCAGCCAGGCCTCTTTCCAACTCCTGGTCTGCGGTGGGGGCCATGTCTGGACTGGGGGTTTAGGGAAAGAAAGGGCTGGTGCCCTGGAGCAACCTTCACCCACTTCCTCCCCACCCCCTGTCATCTGACAGCCCTGGACCAGCTCCGGCCCCAAACAGCACCATTACTAAATGCTAAAATATCTCTGAGGCATTTTCACCCAACATCAAGGGACTGAGACCCCAGAGTGCCCCCCACAGGCACCCAGAATCATCTCTGGAACGCTCTCCTTCTGAAAAAAGTCCGCACTAAGCTCCTATTTTGGTTTCATACCTACAATGAATTATCTTGGCTTTTATGTTGGGCTAACAGAGTGATTTATTATTTACCGAACGCAGTAGACGCTCAGCAGATCAATTTCAATAAAACAATGGATTATAAACGCTGCCAGCAATCTGGCAGTAGCAGTAATCAACAAAACATGTTGTTCTAAATGCTGCATAATAAATTGACTATAATAAACTCATAATTATTCTACTGGCTACATTTCAAAGTTAGCACTAGAAAATAAAATCACCAATTTGGGCTTGGCATTAATGTCCGTGGGCTTCCTTGGATTGCTCGTGTTACTAACGCTGCCACAGCAGACATGTGTGCCACGCGGTGCCAGGAGCCACTCGGTGGTGAGCTGGCCACAGTGTCCACCCAGAGGCCTGATGTGTGCTGGGCCCTCGTCAGTCAGGCCCGCCCCCCGCTCAGGGGCCACCCCAGCTCACAGCTGGGACTGGTCTATTGTGGGGTGAGGTCCCTCTTTGAGGCAGATCAAGAGGGAAAAACAATATCCACTTCCTCTGGGGTGTAAATTCACAGAGAAACACTCAAGGCCATGCAGCCCAGATTCCCCTGGGACAGCTGGGACCATGGGTGGGGCTGGGCTTCTGCCCAGGCACTGGCTTCCCACATCCTGTCCTCCCGCTCAGCCAGAATGGACCACAGAAAGAGCATTAGGGTGAGAAACCCAGAGAGCTCTGGGGTAAGAAACCCAGAAGATGCCAGGTGGTCGCTCCTTGGAACCACCAGGGACTGGCCGCTCCGGCTGTGCTAAGTCTGAGGCAGCCCCTACTATGCCTCAGTGACCTTGCTGCACCTGGTGGAGGGGCTGAGATATCCACCCTGTTGTCAAGATCACCGCATGCCCTCAGTCCCTCCAGGAGGGACATCAGACACTCTGGGAGAGGCAGTACTCGTGGTCTGCCTTGTGGCCACTGGGGATGTCCCCCTCTGTGCACCCCAGCCCTTCTCCAGTCTAGGCCCCGGGAAGAGGGCATCTCGGTCAGCACCTGTGTTCCCGATACGGCCCTTCTGCTACCCCAGGTAGTCCTGACAGGCATGTGTGCTCTCTCCATGGGTCAGAAAAGTAAACTGAGGCTCAGAGGGAACTCAGCCATTGTTGGGCTCCTGCCAACAGTGGCCCGAGCCAGAATACCCTGCCTGGCTACCGGCCCTGGGTGAGTGCAGAGTCTGCGGCCAGTCCCAGTGTGCCCAGAGCGCCCAGTAGCACGGGGATCCTGGGGCTGGGTGGGTTTCTGAAAATAATTGGCAGTGACAGCCCAGAACACGGCATCTCTCCACACAGGCCCCTTGATGGACGAGGGCTGAAGACCCGGGGTGCAGGAGCTCCCACTCCCTGCCTCAGGGCTGGGTGACACCTGTGTGAGGTGTCCTGGCCAGTGTGCAGGTATCACCAGCTCAGGGACGGCCTAGCAAGGTGCACAAGTGACCTGAGAAGAACCTCAATACTGCCTTTAAGCAGGCTTTGGGGAGCCTTGTGGGGTGCCTCAGCAACAGGGGAAAAGGCACGGAAGAGGAGGGAGGGTCTGTGTGTGCCCCCAGCATCTGTGGGTGGATGACCACAGCGAGATGCCTGAGGGCCCGGATGCGTGGCCTATGGGCTGGGAGCCCTGCAGTGGCCCTGCCTGCAGCTGTCTGACCTGCCCCTGCAGGACATCTGGATGGTAGAGAGGACGGGAGGGAAAGTGAGTGCCATGAGATGAAGGGCAGGCTGCTCCAGGTCAGTGAGGCCCCACAAACCCCTCCCAGGGCCCAGTGAAGCCTGTGAGCAGGACCCACAATTCCACCAACAGAGTCTGCTGCAGGCTGTTGGCCTTGAAGCTGCCCCGTGTCTGCTGGGTCATGGCTGTGTGAGCAGCTGCAAGCACATGCAATGGGCCTCAGGACCGCCCTGCAGACAGTGTGGGGTCAAGAAGCACCCCTGACCTCCTGAACTGATGGCCTGATGCCAAGGGGTCCCGAGGCAGAGGCTGGCAGGCTTCAGAGGGCGTAGGCTCCCTGGGAATCTTGCCTGGTCCAGACGAAGGTGCCCAAGACAAAAGTATGAGTGTGGTGGGGGTGATTCAGACCTCCTCAGAGAGTCCACTGTCCAGGCCCCCAGGGGCCAACCCCACCTCATAGGGTCCTCTGGCTCCTCTGCTCGGCTAGAAGCAATGAGAGGAGGCACCAAACAGGCAGTGGCCTCAACCGAGCAGTCTGGGCCCAGAGCAGGCCCAAGGCCTCACTCTGGTCAGTGCCTCAGGAGAGGACCAGAGCCTCAGGCTTGAGGTTGAATCCCACCTAGGTCCACTCTTCAAATGCAGTCAGGGCAGAGGAGGCTCAGGGCCCGTCTCACTTACCACATGTCTCCATCCTGGATGGTCCGGTCGTTGGGGGCCCCGGCGTGTCCGTAGTGCAGGACAGCTGAGTTCTCACCACTGCAGAGTACAGGGGGAGGTCAAGGTCCATCCTCCTTAGCAGGTCCGGGGGGCTAGCGCCCTACCCCCCACCCCATGGATAGCATGGCCCACCTTCCTCAAGAGGCCCAGAAGTGGCTGAACCAGACCCACGGCAGAGGTGAGGGCGGGGCCCTGGCCAGGGACAGTGCACCCCTGGAAGTACTGCCCTCAGGGCTTCCCTGGCCTCTGAGGCAGGTGTCCTTTGGGCTGGGAATGGGTCCCACTTAGTGTGGGTCAAGAACAGGAATGGGGAGGGGTCTGTGGGCCTGGGGGTGGGGTTCTGTCTTTTGCTGGTGTCAGAGGGAGAGGGAGGGTTACTGGGAAGGGTTGGCTATGTCGGGCTGTCCCTGCAGCCCTGCAGGACTATGATAGGAAGCCAGTGGCTCCCTGCACCCCAACTCCACAGAGACTCCTTAATGAGTGGTACCTTTAAGAAAAAAAGGACTTTTAAGTCTGTCCAAAGGAAAAAAAAAACCCTCACCTGGGTGTAATATTTATGGCCCCCATTCGGGAGTCTGAGGAATCATAAAAGTAGAAATAATGATTTTTCTCTCTATCTACCAGAGAAGAACATTTCCAAGGACTGAGATGTTCATATGTATTATTCATGGACCAGGCCGTGCACACCAGCACAGCGGCTGCCTCAGACTTGGCTGCAGGGGCCAGACCTTTGACCCACGGGGCCGCGAGAAGGCAGAGGCGGCCTTCGCTTGTGGAGCCTCAAAAGGGTTAACGACTTCCAAACAAGCAGGCATTGGGGTGGGTGTGGATGTGGGTGTGAGCAGGTGTGTCTGGGAGGGGAGACTTGGACAATCCCTCACATTCCCTCACCCTCTGCCCCTGACCAACCCACATGACCTGGGACGCTGGCTTACCTGCCACAGATGCAGGTGTAGGAGCTGTGGCGCATGCCGCCCCGGGAGTAGCAGTAGTGCTCGAAGAGGCTGCAGGGGAAGGACAGTGTCAGGTGGGGTCACCAGGGGGGCTGCACACCCCGCCCTGGGGTCACTCCTCTGCCCAGGCCTTGCTCAGCTATGGCCCCACGAAGGCCTGAGCTCTCCATCATGCTTCTTTGAGGCCTGGAGCTCAAGGTCAGTCACAGGCCACAGGCCCACCAAGGTCAGTGTGGAGAGGAGCAAGGCCAAAGAGTTCGCCACCCCCAGTGACAAGGCGAGGCCCAGCCTCCCAGTCCCACCGGGGACAACCCTGGTGCTTCGGGGAGATGGGCTGGCATGGGCCGCAGGAGACAGGGCTGCAGGGGCTGTCTCCCTGGGACTCCTGTGTCCAATAGCTGCACCCTAGCCCTCGGGGTGATTGGATACACCACTGGGGGGACACGAGAACTCCGCTGGCCCCTCACAGGACTCGCCCAGGGCTCCGGATCTGACCTCAGAGAAAGGTGAAGGCAAGGAGAGTGGAAGCTATTGGCACCGGTCGGGGTTGAGGGTGAGAGACAGGCCCTTGTGCAGCTGGAGAGGGCAGGGTCGTCTCCAGGGAGGTGGAGAGAGGACTAGAGGCAGGCCCCGCTTCTCCACTCTTAGGACAAGCAGCAAATCAATTCCCCCTGTTCCCCAAGCTCTTGCCAGCCACATCAACACCACATCAGCAGTGCCAAACCCTTGAGAGCCCAGGCTGGACCCCGCCCCACCCACCACATGCCTCAGGACCTGGGCTGGTGCATTCCAGTTGGCATGGGGCTCTGTGTTCCAAGGGCCCAGCCTCTGCAGAGCCCAGTTAGGGAGGGGCGTTGCCCTCACCCCTTCCCAGAGGCCAGGCAAGAGCTTGGACCCAGCCCTGTGGGTGGCCCAGAGGGAGAAGCAGGTGTAGGTGGAATCCCCCCGCCCCCCCCAGGCTGTGCGGCCGCCCCTTCCTCAGAACAAGACCGCCTTCGGGTTCGCTCAGCGGCAACCCTGCCTCTCGTGTTCTAGGTCTGTTTCAGAGAATGTCTGTGTGGAGGAGTCTAATTTTCCAGGCACTGTAAACACAAATTATGTATAATTGTTATGATTGGGTATTAAGTCGTTGTTATGCAGGAACGGTGCTGCTGTGTTCCGTCGGCTTTCAGACTTGCCTTACAAACCGCACAGGATAATTGGGCCTCTGCGAGTGAAATATTGCCTCAACAAAGGGTTCCCAGGACTGTCAGGGAGGCGACGGGAGCCATGTGCTCCAGTTCACGGTGGGGATGTTCAGGCAGCTGCAGCCACTTATGCTCAGTCCCAGAGCCCACGGGAAGGCGGGACTAGCCACAGCCCTGCACTCCCTCCACGCAGCAGGCCCCCTACACTGGCTGGGCGCAGTCTCTGCTCCCCTCAGACACCAGGGGCCCCACGTCCAGTACAAGAGCCCTTGCCTTCCAGGAGCCTCGCTGCTCCTTAGCTTTGGGAGATGCAGCCGCCTGGGCAGAGGTGAGCTGCAGGTTCCACACAGCCTTTTCCAGGTGATCTGTGCCAGCTGTACGCGCAGATTAATGATAAGAACATTCTACAGCGGCCTGAGACAACAGAAGGGTTTGGGCCCCTGTACTATAGCCACTCACATCAGCAGGTGTCTCTCTACCATGCACCCCGCTCAGGACACACGTGCCCTGGCTCCTGCTTAAGAAAAAGGTAACTCAGAGAAAAAGGCACACTTCAGAAGTGCCAAACGAAGGAACGGCTGGCCCAGCTTCCAGCTGCAGATTCTTTGCCATGGAGGATTCCACAGGCCCACAAGGAAGAGACAACAAGACCACGAGGGACATCCACCCCAGCTGAGAAGGGTCTGAGGTTCTTCTGATTGGACTTCAGCATCTAATTGTGCTTTAAATTAGTCTTTCTGACACTGCATGGGGAGAACCTGGGGCCTTAGTGGCCATAACAAGTGGATATAACGGGCTTCCGGGTCCCTCTCTCTGGGACCTCAGCCTGGCTGCAGACCCAAAGGTGCCCAGGTGCCGTGACTCGGGAGCCTGTGGAAAGAGGATATGGGTGAAGAATAGGTGCTCCAAACCAGGCCCCACACTTGACGTAAGGCTCCTGTGAGCATGGCGGGAGGACAGGCTGCCTGTTTCCTCCTGGATGGGTCACAGACCAAGGCAGCAACAGAAGGACACTCAGTGAAGACCCTTCTAGACCTTTAATGGGATACGGGGCAAACTGAGCCAGGTGAGGCACTGGCTGACTCACAACCAGAGCGGCCTAACTACTGGCAAAATGAGGCACTAATCTATGGCCAATTCAGACCCCCTGGAGCCACAATAAATGATGCAAAGGCAGAGTATGTGGCTGGAGCCTTGGACCTCCAACACCCCGAGGGGCCATGTGAAGTATAACAAGGGAAGGAAGGGGAGGCCAGAAAGGAGGAGGGAACTATCAGTCTTGGGGTCCCAGAGGCCTTGGTTACAGCTGCCATGTGGGGACAATGAGGCAACAGGGAGGGGATGGCCGTGAGACCCCACCCCCACAACGCTGGGGCCTAGGCAGTGATACACCCTCAGTCAAAGGGTAGGCTCAAGAAAATTCACCAGCATAAAAGGAGGGAATCAGGAAGCGGAGTTGGAATCCACAGCACAGGTCTGGCCTCTCTGGGGTCCAGGTTCAAGTATGGGCCAGGTCTGGAAGCCTTCAAGTCAGGGCATTAACAAAAAACCTGGGTGCTGACTGTTGTCATTCTAGGCCTTACTGACCCTCCCTCCTGCACACCTGGAGGGAGGCCGGGGTGGGGAGCACACCAATGGGCACATGGCCCAGCCCCCCTGCTGCCCCCAGGAGCAGGTGGGCTCCACCCACAGCCAGGATCCGCGCGCAGACGCTCTGCATTCCGGGATCCCTGGAGCTCTTGCACATGTGGCTATTGCTCCAACACCCTTGCCTATAAATTTCTCCCAAGCAAACGTGGGTAGAAAATGCTCTGTATCCAGGCATAAATGAGAACCTTTAAGTAATCTGGGAGAGTATGTGCTGTGAATAACGAGGTGGATGGAGCTACTGCAGCGACACAGGGGCAGGCCCATTTGTCAGTGTCTAGAAATGACTAATGGGCCAGGGACAGCAAATTCTGAGTCCCAGGTTGTAGGGATGGTGTCTCCTGGGACGGCGTCGCCGGGCCTCCCCCTGGATCCGCAAATCCAAACCCAAGAGCCTTCCTGGGCACACGGCCCAGCTCTTGTCCTGTGACGTTTACCATCTAATGAGGAGACAGCCATAGCCCTATGAGAATGCATCCGCTGCCCAGGACAACAGCAGAGGTTGCCCTGAGCGGCAAGCCCCTGCCAGCTTAGCTGTGAGCACTGGCACATGGGGCCAGAGAGGTCGGCAGGGGCTGTGTGAGCTGATCATCAGCCAAATCACCCCCTTTCCAGGCTGGGCCTCCAAGCACAGCAGGTTCCAGAGAGCTGGACCAGGAGCAAGAGAGTGGAAGACAGGCTGGTGGGTGGAAGCCATTCACTCAGCCGAGGAGTGTGTCCAGGAGGGTTACAGAGGGGGCTATGGGTCAGAGCCAGAGGGCAGAGGGTGGGTCATCTCAGCCAGAAGGTCGCTCATACCCACTGTTACTGCAGTGTTCCCAGAGGCTCTACTGGTAGGGCAGGGTCCTGCACCCTCAGGCCTGTCAGGTAGTCCCACTCCTGGCTCTGCTACCTACCAGCTGGATGGCCTCTCTGTGCCTCAGTTTCCTTATCTGTAAGACGGGGTGATATCAGTACCTCCCACAGGGCTGGGGTGCCACTGAAGGGACTTAATAGTATGAAGCAGACCATGCCTGGCACACAGGGAGCACCGCGTCCAGGATCCATGTGGAACGGGATGGCCATCATCGCTGTCACTGCTCAGAGCCCTCTGAGGGAGTGCATGCAGCAGGGACCCTCCTGCAGGCTGCAGGGAAGGACGCCTGGCTATGGTGGTCTCTGAGATACTCCTCTAAAACCAGGGAACATGCGCAGACCCACCTGGACACTGCACCTGCATGTTCTGGCACAGCCAGGCTCCAGGCATGGGCCGACGTCTCCGGGATAAATGTGCACACACAGGGTGCCCATGGTACAGGGCGCCTCGGTCTACAGTCCCTTCCCGGCTGTACCCCACCCCCACGCTGGCCCTTAAGTCTCACCTCCTGACCCCCAGTTCCCCACCAGAGCCCAGAACCTGTAAGGGGGAGGGTGGTGCAGAGGGTCTTATGTGTTTGGGGACAAATGACTATTCTGTGCAGCTGTCCCTGTACTAAGTTACTTTCCATTCACGAGTATTAATCAATATTTTATTTTCTGGATAAAAATGGCCATAATTATGTAATGAATGTGACATGCCTTTGAAGAACTACCCAATTACTAAAAGCAAATTCTATTCATAGTAAGAAAGACCACGATCCCCATCCCGTGGAGGGGGGCCCCCAAGAGTCACCTGGAGGAGGAGCAGAGTGTCTCCTGCTTTCCCCAGATAGAGCAGCTACAGAGGACCTGGAGCCAAAGCCAGAGCAGGGTTCTGGGATCAGCAGGAGGAGGAGATGCTTCACATGGACCAGAAGCCTAATTGTTCCTGAATTCTTAGGGGCGGTTAGATGCTGCTCCTTTCATTTCTTCTGGGGGCCCATGGGGCCACCAGAATTACCTGGCAGGAGAGCCCCGGTTCCCACCCGTCGCCAGCCGCTGCACAGGGGCAGCTGCAGAGACCTGTCCAGGGTTCTGCCCAAATTCCCAGGTCCTACACCCAAGTTCTCTGGGTCTCCTGTGAGGTGGCAAACTGGGGAGGGAGTTGGAGAGAAAGCTAGGCATAATGGCTCCGAGCATTTTAAATGAGCAAGTAGCAATCACACTGTCGCCAAGAAGGGACTGATTTAAAGCCTTGGACTAAACCCAGAAACGCATTATTAATAAAACCTTGCTCACACACAGCTTCACAGCACAGCCTGTGCCGATGCGGCACCCCAGGCACACAGACCGTCTGCAGCAGCTGCAGCGGCCACCCCG